ACCAACAATGCCGCGTTGCTTTTTGTATGACGTCATTCCGACATGTGTGTGTATATATTTATATGCTCTGAAAACTCCCGCTTGCCAACGCAGATGATTTTCCAGAAAGACAGGAAAGCAGGAGGAGGGGAGGGAGGTGGTGCACTTGAGCCCGATGTCCATGGATGTACATCGGTTTATCGAGGCGGCTGCGCTGAAACTGAGAGCACGAACGTTTGGAAAACTGAACCCTGCTCTGAAAACTCCCGCTTGCCAACGCAAATGATTTTCCAGAGAGGTAGCAGGCTGCCAAGGGTGGACGACACTGGTGCTTGCTGCGAACGGATCTTATAATAGAGCGCGCTCGCTCCCATCTTCCCGAATCTATTCTGGCCAAGCCGCATGAGCTTGCTCACAAAGTCAAAGACGCGAGATGATTGAGTTGGATCCGGTCGGCAGCCTGCACAAGCAGAGAAGCGGCACCCCGGGCGAAGGAGTCAGGGTACTCTTCGGCCCGGGCGGTCAGGTTCCTGGGGTCCCCGGGTCCGCGGCCCTGGAGGGCCACATGAGGCCGGAGCGTGCGACTGCACATCCCTAGGACCCCGGAACACCGTTTACACAACGCCTTAGGCGGAGCCCCTACATTCCACCCCACGACTTTAGTGGGCTTCTTCCAGGCACGATCATGTTGGCACATGTGTGTGACAAACTCTTTACAATTGTCTAGGCGCGTGAGATCTAAAAGGGCGGGGCACTGCCAGAGGAGACTAGACTGGGGATTCTCCATGGCCACTGGGATCCCTGCCTTCAAGCACGCACGAATCACACATACGGAAAAGAGAGCTGTTGCATTGCCGAACTGTACTTTGACTGCGTTTTTGTCGGAGAGGTCGGGCCGACCATATATATGCTGAGGCGTGCGGAATGTGTTTCGGCTGGCAACGCTCCACGTTGAACACGGGGGGGCGAGCCACACGGCCCGCACGACACGACTCTACTTTAAGAGCTGCGTCGGATGACAGATCAAAAGCAGGGTCAGCTTTGACATCGAGACGGAGGGCCGGCAGTCCGCTCAACCTCTCCAGCCATTTTCCGACACGGCCTGTCCCCGCAAAAAGATCCAGAAAAGTCTGTGCCCTCCGAGGCTGGCGGCCTAGCGCCTGGTCTAACGCGGCCCTGAGCCTGCGTCTGACCGACGCGGCCGACAGCTGGAGGGCAGAGGCAAGAGTGTCTCCTGAGCGCCAGAGCTGGCCGGCGGCCAACGCCGCGGCCTTTTTGCCCCTGGAGGCGCGGCCACGGCCTTGTGCTTGCTGATCAGCGCCTCGAAGTTGGCATCCACGTAGTCTCCGTACTGCTTCGTGTCGGCCGCCAGCTGGTCTAACTCGCGGAGATACCTCGTGTGCTTTTTGTACCGTCGTGTTGGCGACTCCTGAGCATGCCTCAGCCTCTCCTGGATGGTCTTCATGTGTCGATTCTGGTGGAGAGCGTCGGCGCTGGCGGCTCCGTGGCGCACCTGGTAGGGGTTCAAGTCCGGGAGGCCAGCCAACTGCGCCACCTTGCGGAACAGCACTCGGAATTGCGCGGCTGAGAAGGACCACAACGGCTGACTCGGTCCGGCACGACGTACCAGCGCCTGCAGCAGCGGCCCCATCGCCGTCACCCTGTCGCTGTCCAGCAGGCAACCCTCGTCCAACTGGCCGGTCTTGCTCCTGGGCTGCTTCTCCTCGTGGTACAGGAGCAGCGCCCAGTGAGACACCCCCGTGGACCGCTGGGGCGGGATGAGCGAAGAGCCGGTCATGGAGATCAAGTCGCTGGGGAGCCGAAGGTAGGCGCACCACGCCACCTCCAAGGCCATTGCCAACTCCTGCATCCCCAAGAACAGCGCAGCGCCCACCAGAGCCGCCAGCCCTGGCCGCGGCAGGGGCGCCCGCGACTGGCCCGGGGCCCGCTTGCGGAAGCCCCTCAAGGCTGCGCGGGCCCTGGGCAGCGCCTCCACGGACTGGTACACCCCGTGCACGTCGTAGTACTTGACGGCTGCTATCAACTTTTCTCCTTGATCGTGATTGTAGCCCTCGAAGAAGAGCGAGCCATGTGGGCGGACAGGGCCTGGTCCATCTCCTCCGGCGTCTCCAACTTGAGGTCCTGCTCCTCGGCCCACCTCTCGAACTCGCTCAGGATGACCCGGTAGTAGGCCACCGTCTGCGGCTGTGCCCGCGATGCCTGCATGTAGCCCAGGCCCGCGGCCGCCGCCTCCTGAGCTGCCTCTCTCTGCGTCTGCCTCAGCGTCGCACGTCGGCTCCTCCTCGCCTGAGCTGCTTGAAGAGCTGCTCCACGCCGCCTCGGCAGCTCCACTGGGTGGCGACTCGGCTGGCTCGACCCGCCGACCGAAGGCCGCCGCAGGCTCGTCCAGCCAGGTGTCCCCGAGGCCGCAGAGGCCGGCCGCCTCTGCCCCGCCTGGCTGGCGGAGGAGGTGGTTGTCGATCTCCCCCTCGAGCGCCAGGTCGAGGCGGGCGGCGGCCGCGTGAGCATCAAGGTACCATGCCGATCGTGGATCTGACCGAGGGTCCCGCGGCTCGGGCCGAGATGGCCACGCTCTCGACGGTCGGTCTGCTGGGTTTATCTCTGACGCTATCCATCTGAAACAACAGTGAACGTTGGCAAACAAACTGAGTGCAAGAACCTCTTGACACGTACGATTGACTGTTGAAGTAGATCCCCGGCCCTTGCTGAGGGCCAACACCATGGACATGTTATCACAAAGGAACAAGTGACGAGCTCCCTGGGACGCCCGGGAACGTAGACGATGCCGAAGCCCCAGTACAACCCCTCGCCCCTCAGTACGCAGGATGTTCTCATGACGAAGCCAACGACCTTTTGCGCAGAGGCGCCAGCTGCTGTCGTCGCCCATCTGGCTGGGCGTGATATGTTCGAAAGTGACTCCTGCCTGGCGAGACATTGGACGCTTTGGTCCCTGCTCCTGCGGCAGGCCGAGCGTCTGGGCGCGAGCAGCGATGGCATCTGAGACACACCACCGCCACTTCTCGGCCTGGCCGGCCGCGGCCCTCACGCTCTCCAGGTCCCAGTCCGTCTCCATCACGCCGTACCCGCCGAAGTCGTGGCGGCTGGCCCCCGAAGCGTCGGACGCGGTCACGACCGTGCTGTAGGGCCGCTTGGCGTCCACGAACGCGAAGCACACCAAGGCCGCGGCACGCCGCAGCTCGGCCTCCACGCAGGGCCAGAGCCTCCACCTCCTGGAGCCGGCCAGGGCGATGTACCTGTACGTCTGCGCGAACACACTCAGCAGTTCGCGCCGCAGGATCGCTGCCCAGCACCAGTGGCCAAGGAGATGCCGAAGCTCGTCTCCCGAGGCCCACCCGCGGGAGGCCGTGTGCAGGAGGGCCAGCCTCAACTTCCACGTCCGTGACCGAGAAAGCCGTATCTTGCCAGAGGCCACCTCGAAGCTCAGGCCCGTGAAGGTGGTGTCCGAGCCAGCCGCCTCCACGCCCTTGCACTTCAGACCCAGCGCCTCCAGCTTCGCGGCGACCCGCTCGCAGTCGGAGGTCACCAGGTTAGCCTCCAGCCCCACCACAGCAACTCCGTCCACGTAGACGGCCACACGGTTGCGGTCCGTCACCGAACGGGCTGCACGGCGATCCTGGATGAAGTCGGACAGGGCGAAGCCAGCGGCCTGAACACCAGCCATCACCATGCATTGGCAAAAGTAGAGACTCCATGTCCACCCCATGGGAAGCACCTCTAGGCAAGGTGACGCCCACGCCTCGATCCCTGGCGGCAGCTGGTCTGACAGGTCAGGCCTCAGCTTCAGCAGGGTGGGAAGGTGGACAGCTCTCAAAACGAACATCTCCTGCGCCCCCCGCGGCAAGCCGATCCTGTAGAACGCGTTGTCCACGTCGGCCTGGGCGAGGTGCAACTCCTGGTCCATGGGGACCTCCAACGCTGACCAAGCCCCCGCTGTCGGGAGCACTGTGTGCGCTGGAGCTTCAAACAAGTCATTGACACGCCGAGGGTCAATAATTAAGCGCTGCATACCATTCGATTTGTGCACAAAGAAGGCGCCCACCGTCTCCTCCCGCTGCTGCGTCAGGGAGACCACGCCGGCATCCAACAGGTCGCCGACGAACTGGGCGTAGGTAGATCGGGAACGAAACTTGCCGTCGTAGTGGGGCTTGGGCGCCTGGCTGCCGCCCTCGGGCTGTCGCTTCAACAGCTGCCTCCATCCTACCCATTGCTGCAAAGCTTCTCCCTCCAGGATGCGGCTCCCATCAGCGAGGCCGCCCCCCTTCGGCAGAGAGACCAGGGACCGGTCGTAGGACGCAATGTGCTCCGGCTCGAAGACGTAGCCGTGCCCAG